TGGCTCGGCCAGCTCCGACGAGGGGTCCCCTCTCTCTCCCCGGCCCTGTCACTTGTGGCTCATGTGTCTCATGCATATGAGGGAGGTTGCTGGGGTCGCTGGCCAGACTGGCTTGTGTCCCCATCCCATCCCCACCCCCCCACCGCAGCTGAAGTCAGGCAGACGGGGAGGGCAGAGCCGCCCCGGGGCGAGGGGCCGGGGCGCCGGGCGGGGGCTCCGTGGGGCGCACCTGGGTGAGGCCCTGCCGCTCCGAGGCCTCTAGGAGTTGCAGCAGGAAGCTGAGTTCCTGGGCGTCCGCCTCTGCCAGGCACTGAAGATCCTGCGCGGCGGCTGGCACGTCTCCCTTCTTGAGCTGGAGCAGGCCCCACCGGGCCCGGGCCGCCGCCGCCGACAGGGGGGTGGCCTGCGGGGCTTTCTGCAGGCAGGCGCCGGCCTCCTCGTAGCTGCCTGTCAGCGATCGATCGGGGAGGGACGGTCACGGTGGGGCGGGGACGGGGGACGGGAGAGAGAGGTGGGAAGTTGGCCACAGCCTCTCCTGCTCAGTGCCGGCCCAGGGAGAGGCCAGACGATGGAGGGGCTCGGCTCCGGGAACAGGAGACGCCGACACCGTGCCAGTCGCAGCTGGCCTGTTGGCCCGATCCTCCCCACTTGGGGTGGGGGTGGGGGTCACGAAAGCCCCTGGCACGGCTCTGAGCCTCACAGCAGTCACCTGGAGGGTCCCTCCTGAGCACTCGCAGGAATTTATACTCTACTGCAGGGCAGTCTAGGCCTTGAGGAGGGCACCTCACGGGCTTGGGGGGGACAGTGACAGGCCAGGGAAAGGCAGGCTGCAGAGAGCTCTCCCCCTTCACGTTAGTGCTCGAACAACTTCAGGACTTTGCCCCGCGTGGGCGAGCTGCCGAGGAGGCCGCGGTGTTGCGGTCCTTCTGTGAAAACCCAAACCGCTCCTTTGTTTCTCCTCCCTGCAGGGGGCCCTGATGGTGACTGAGAGCTCTGGACGCTTACACCCCAGGCCCCACGCGGGGACCGGGTCACAGGGCCGAGGTCTGGGGTGGAAAGGACCCCAGGAGGCGCCGAACCCTTTCATTTTACAGAACAGCACCAGGAGTGACGGGAGCCGGACACCCGCGTGCCCCGAACCCGGGCTGAGCGTACCCGCCGCCGTGAGCACGTCCGCCAGCAGGATGTACCAGCCCGGCTGCCCGCCATCGATTTCGACCAGCGCCTCCCCGGCCGCAATGAGGCCCTGGGCGTCCTCGTCGCTGAGAGGGGCCCCGGCGTCCGACGCCTGGCTCAGGAGGGCCCGGCAGCGGGAGGAGAGGCCCCGGGTGACGAGGGCCTGGGCCTCTGGCTTCAGAGAGCGGATCTCAGGGACCGCTGTCCTCGCATCAAGCTTCAGAGCCAAGAGGATGTCGTCCGTGGCCTCCTGTGGGGAGAGCGGGGGCAGAAGGCGTCCCCGCGGGCGTTTGTCAAGTGTTCTCCCGGGGCCCGGGCGCTGGCCGTGCCGGAAGGGGCACGTAGCCGGGTTGCTGGCTTTGCACGATAGGACGGCCCGGCCGGCGAGCCGCACAGAGCAGAGCATGGGGAGCTGCGGCCAGGATGCTGGGGTTCCGGAAAGGGAGGGATGGCTGGCACCAGGGAGGGCACACCGAGGAACAGCCCGCCACAGGCTGGAACGGAAGCCAGGCTGCCAGCGCCCCTGGGGGAGACTCAGGACTCCCGAGGGGCAGACGCCAGCACCGTCTCTAGAGGCTCTCAACTCAGCGTCTGGAACCATCTCTACTTGCCTCCGAGCACACGGCCCTCACACAGTTAGGAACCCTGGCAGGCAGGCCACCTCTGGGCCGCGGCGCCTCAGGGCGGCCACCCAGCTTCCCCACCGGGCCGTGACGTTGCTCTTGGCTGAGAGGTGCCGTTGTCCAGGGCTGTTCAGCTGTGGCTGCCTGCGTGCAGGTTTTCTCTGGGAAAAGCCCCTGTCCTGAGTCTGCCAGGGCGTCCCCTCCCACTTCTGTCCCTGCATGCTGACCACCCGAATCCTTGGGCTCTGTGCAGACAGCTCGGGGTGGTTCCCAAGAAGGCAGCTGTGGTCTTGTTATGTTAAGCTGAAGGGGGGGGGGTCTAGTAGCCCCGGGGGCTTGCACATCCTGTGCTCACTGAGGCTGGGAGGCACGGGGACTCTTCAGATGAAAGGGACAGACTTCCTGAAACCTGGGATGACGGGACGTGATGATGAGTGTCCCGGGAGCCCCCGTGCAGGAGGAGTTTTAAGGGGCGTCTCACGCTCAGGACGGTCTGGCCCTGCTCCCTCTCCCCTTGGGCCCGAGAAGGAAAGCGGTGTCCCGGTTCCTCCCAGGTGGCCCTCCCCTAAAGCACTGTTCCCCTAACCCCGCTTGCCCAGTCCCAGGCGGGGAGGGCAGGGCCTGGTACCTTCTGCCGGTCCAGGGCCAGGGACAGAAGCGCCCGACCGCACAGAGCCTGCACGTTCTTCGGCTCAGCCCGCAGCACTGAATTGAAATCAAACATGGCGGTCTTCTTCTGGCCCAGGAGCCCATAACAGTGGGCCCGGATGAGCAGGGACTCCACTGCTTGACTCCCTGGAGGAAGGGGGTTGTGGCATCAGGACGTGGCCGCTGTTGGGCCGGGGCGGGGGGGGAGGGGTACAGCATCTGCCCCCATCCGGCATCTGCTGGTGCCCAGCAGTGGGGCAGGGCAGGGGCGCACCAGCCTCGGGGCCACCGTGGGGAGCTCACGGACCCCTGGGCACCAAGACACGATCTTGTGTCTGGGTTGACCTGGGGGCACTGGCTGTGGGGCACAGGGAGCCCGGCCATAAGGGTGGCATCCGGGAGGGCTGGTGGACAGTCCGACAGGGGTCCCAAGAGGAGGGGGCACCGGGGCTGCGTCTGAGGTGAGGCCAGCCGAGGGTCCCGGAGGCAGACGGGTCCTTGGGGCTGGAACAGCTGGAAATGGGAAGGTGCCAGGTGGGCAGAGAGGAGCTATCTGAGTTCTCGGGCCCCTCCCCAAGGAGACCACCACCACTCCCTCTGGTCGTCTGTCCAGCGATAGGCACAGAGAACAGCACACCGGGCCCCGCAGGATGCTCTGGCTCACGTCCCCTTCCCCACTAGTGCGCGCAGGCCGTGAGCCCTGCCGTCCAGTCCTCACCACCCCGGCCCCTCACCCCGGCGTCTCCATCACCCACTTTGAGAAGATGACAACGAGGAGATGCTTAGTAAGTGCAGAGCCAGGAATCCACCTGACGACCTGATCCAAAGTCCGCACTTTGAATCTCCACGCACCCCAGGGATTTGAGGCGCGTCCTTGGGGAAGCCTCTCCCCTCCAGCATGCGCGCCCTATGCCACCACATCGAGAAGGCCCCACTCCAAGAGGCCCCGTCGCCCAGGATGGCGCTGGCTGGGCAGAAGGTGACAGCAGGCTCACTCCTACAGACACACCCCCACTGTTTCCAGGAAGGGCTGAAGGGGGCCAGGACTCTTCCCGGTTGGAGGGAGGGGACCAAGCTGGGGGAATGGCCTTATTCCCTCCTACCCAGGGTGTGTGTGTTGGGGGCCCTACCCGGGGTCCAGGGTGTGTGTGTTGGGGGTCCCAGCTCAGGTCCCAGCCGGTCTGGCCGGTCTCCCAGGCTTTTTAGCATGCTCGCCTGGAAGGCTAGGGGCTAGGGCAAGGCGTGAACCGAGAGCGTGCTGGGATCCCTCAGGTCTCTGACCCCCTACCCCCGCGTGGCTCATCTTCCCCCTACGTACCGGGCACAGGATGGGAACCCTGGGGCGGGCGGGCAGCTCCTACCTGCAGCGAAGATGGCCAGAGAGAGGTAGGCGATGGCCTCCCTGGTGTGGGCCGCGCCCTCGGCCCCGCTGGGCCGCGCCCGCAGGATGGCCAGGGCCCGAGCGTGGCAGTGACCCCGCAGCAGCTGCCGGTCCTCGTGGCTGAAGACGTCCAGGGTGGGCTGGAGGCAGGCCGTGTCCCCGGACTGGACCACTTTCTTCACCAGCTGCAGGGCAGGGCAGTCACCGGGTGCCCCCTCCCCCCTGCGCCGGATGCCCAGACCCCTCCACCCCCAGGTCCCCTCGCAGGGGGGCAGGGGCGTGGCCCACGAGCGGGAGCTTCCAGGGGCGGGGCTAAGGGGACCGGCCTCCCGGGCGGGGTCGGCGCGTCCCGGGCCCCCGAGAGCTCCGGGAAGCGAGGGACGCGCTGGGCTGCTCGCGCGTGGGGGCGGGGGTCCCAGTGTCCCCAAGCCGCACCTCCTCCTCCGAGCCACGGAGGCCCACACGCTGCAGGTCCAAACGGGAAGCGCGGGGAAAGGGGGCTCTCAAGTCCTAAGGGGACAGAGGGTACCGGAGTCCTTCGGAAGGCGAGGAGCAAATGCCCTGGGACCGGAGCCCGTTCCGGGCGGAGCGAGACCCGGGTGGGCGTGGCCGCGGCTCTCGGAGCCGCTCGGTCCCACAGAGAGACCCGCTGCTGCCCCTGCCGGCCGCTCGCTGAAGACCCAGGTCCCAGAGCGGAAGGTCCCGGGCATTCTCCCCGCCCACCCGCGTGGCCCAGCGCAGGGAGACAGGGAACCCGAATGTCTGGCCCAAAGCCTGACACCTAACCCCTGGAACATGACCTCGGACCCCGGTTCCAACGGGAAGCCCTCATGCCACCTGAGGGAGGTGAAGTCCTGCTCTTCCTGGGAGCAGAGCGGTGTCGGAGAGAGGCGAGGCCAGCAGCACCTCTGCCATCCCCCTCCCTGAGCAGGGTCACCTCCAAGCCTAGTTCACTTGGAAGACTTGGGATGAAGCTCCGTCTACACCTGACTCTTGGCCCTTTTCCTTCACAACACAACGAAAGCAACTATGAGGCACCTACTACATGCCGGAGACCTGCTGGGCCCTGGGGCACCTGCTCTAGCTGTTCAGCAAAAACCCGTAAGACCAGGGCACAGATGAAGAGACTGAGGGTCACAGAGGCCAGGGGCCTTGCCCGAGACGGCAGAGCCCGGGGCTGGGACAAGTTCTGCCCGCTCCGGAGTCCAGGCCGAGGGTTGCAGAGTGAGGCCAGAGGGCCTGGTGCCCTCCAGGGGGCTGTGGCCCACTGGGGCCTCCTCACCTGGTGGGCGTCATGGAAAAATCCCCTCCTCAGCTGCAGCAAGGCCAGTCTTGCCAGCACGGGGGCCGCCCGGGGCCTCTGGGAGAGGGCCACCAGCAGGGCCTTGTGGGCGTCGTCCAGGCGGCCCAGGCGGTACAGGGCGTCGGCCCCCAGGAGGCCCGAAGCCTCGTCTCCCCTGTCCAGCTCCGTGAGGAGCATGGCCAGCTGGTACACGCCGTGGGCATCGCTGTGGAGAGAGTAGCGGGGGAGAGCTGCGCCCCTTTCGCCTGCCCAGGGAGGCGGGCCGCGGGCAAGTTCCACCCCCGGCACCTGGTCCGCGCACCTCCCTTCCCAGCCGACTACAGAGGCCTGGTTCCTGCCGGAAGGCCCCTCACACACGTGGTGTCCAGAGCTCCAGCCGCCCTCTGACGTGCACCCTGGGCGCTCACTCTCTGCCCTGTCCTGCCACGGAGCCTGGAATCTGTCAATTCCCAGAGACAAGAAGTACCAAAGGGCCCCGATCTCATTCGGGAAAGTTCCTCCTTAGCAGCACGTTAAGGCGATTTGAACTGAGCATCCTGGAGGCAGAGGAAGATGTGTGTGTGTGTGTGTGTGTGTGTGTGTGTGCGCTCGCGCGCGTGCATGTGCAGGGTGGGTGGTGGCGGTGGAGCTGACCTCAAACACTCCCTGCCCCCCCAGGAGGCTCCCAGCTCCCTGCTCTTAGCTTTGCGGAAACACGTTCCTGCCCCCTCTCAGCAAACAGAATTGCAAGTCAAAACAGCTGCAGATTCGCCCACTGACTGAACAAACCGGCAAAACATCTGCAACACAAACATCAGGGCGGGGGTGTGGGGCTGAACGGGCAGGCAGGCGGCTCCTGGGCTCAAGGGCCTCCCAGGGGGCCGTGCGCCCGGACTCAGAAACCCCACCTCCGCGCGCATTCTCCGGCCGAAGGAGCATGGTGGAGATGGTTGCGTTATAACAAAGGGCAAAAGCTCTAGGAACGCGCGGGGAGTGTTCCCGGGATGCGCTATCCAGCTGCCCCAGAAGGAATCTAGGGGCCAAGGAAACGTTCAGGAGCTGCTGAATAAAAAGCAGTGGGCTAAAAATTGCACACAGAGCACACGCTCTGGTGAATTCTATTTTGTGTGTGCACCGGGGAAACACCTAGAAGGGAACGTTGTCGGTGGGGTGGTGGGCAAGTCGTACATTCCCATTCCCATTTTTGAGTTCTTAAGTTTCTAGGGCCATTAGGCCCACAAAGCATCACATCGTTTGAGACTGAGAGTCCTAAGACCCGGCTGGGCTCCGCGCTGAAGCTGCCATCCGTGATTTAGGGACACCCCCCCCCGACCCCGCCCGCAGCTGCTTCCTGCCTCTGTTTACTCATCCGTAAAATGGGAAGACGCACAAACCCTAGCTACCTCGCAGTAGACCAGAAAGAAGCAGCAGCCCCGGGGGGTGCACCTGTCTAGTTTTTACCCTTCCTGCGTGGTGGGGCTGTGCATCTCGGCGGCCTTCCTCCGGCGGCCAGGTGCGCCCATGTGTCCCGGGTCTGGCCTCCGCTGCAGCATCTTGCGGCCCTCCTCCCGCAGCACGGTCAGCAGCAGGCCCCGCTGGTTCCAGGGTACATAGGCCTTGGCCACGAGCAAGGCCTCCTCGGGTTGCAGCCGGCTGGCGGTCACATAGTCCAGCAGCCCAGGAATGCCAGCTACCAGTCAACAGCGCTGACTCTCAGCACGCGCAGCCCTTCTGGCCGCGCGCACGCAGCTGCCCAGGTGCGGTGTTCCGTGCTCCACCACCTCCTGGAAGTCCTCCCGGGCGCGCCGCGCGTCGCCGGCGTGCAGCGTAGAAGCCTTAGCCCAACAGGGCGCTGGCTCGGCGCCGGGTCCCAGCCTGGTCAGCAGGTCAGTAGCAGGCCAGCCAGCGCTCGCACAGCGTCCGGGAGCCCGCCGTGTCCCCGGCCAGCAGGAGGCACTCAGCCAAGCGAGCGCCCAGGGCCGGGCGCTCCCCGGGCGGCGCAATGCGCAGCAGGACACGGAGCGCGCGGGTCACCGGGGCCAGCAGCTCGCGGCCCGAGTTTTCGCGGAGCTCAGCGCGGCCCCGCACGGCCTCCTGGAAGTGGGCGAAGCCCACATCCGCCGCCTCCTGCGCCCGGGCCCGCACGCGCTCTCGGTCCCCAGCGGAGAGCACCGCCTCGAACTGCCTCCGCGCCCCCGAGGGGCTCTGGCGGAAGGCCTCGTGCAGGTCCCGAAGCAGGTCCCGGGCCCCACCGTCCAGGAATAAGGCCGCGGCCGCGCGGGTGACCAGCAGGGCGGCCAGACGCTCACCTGGGGAGAGAAACAGAGGCACTGGTCCTGCCTGTTGGGCTTTTGGGGTGTCACCTATAGCCCCCGACCGTGCGGCGCTTTGGACCCTCTGGAGCACCTCGTGGCATCTCCGGAAAGTGTCCCAGTAGCCCAGGACATCGCATCCCGAAGATGGACCGTTAGTGACAGGGCAGAATCCGGCGGGACAGCCGGGGTGCCTGTCCGGCAGTGTTCTCTGCCCGCGGGTTCAAAGCCAGTCTCACCGCTCAGCCCACAGGGAAATTTAGTTAGAAAACTTCTTTCCTTTTTAACCATGGATTTGGGGATTGAGTTCCCTCTCTGGGATCAGGCCACCCCCCAGGGTCAATGCTGAGGTTCTTGACCCTGTGACCTTGGTAGGGGATGGCTGGAACTTCAGCATTCTGCTGCTGGCCTCCTTTGGGCTGGGTTGGGACCCAGCGCCTCCCTCTGGAGCCGAGCCCCGGGTCAGGGCCAGCGAGTAGAGGGTGGATACACCTAGTGCTGCTTACACAGTGGGGGCCTTGGGCCATTTACCGAATCTCGCTGTGCCTCAGTTTCCTTTTCTGTTTTATAATGGGGTTAAAAATGGTCTAGACTCGGGGCGCCTGGGTGGCTCAGTCAGCGGAGCCTCTAACTTTGGCTCAGCCCCACATCGGGCTCTGTGCTGACAGCTCGGAGCCTGGAGCCTGCTTCGGATTCTGTGTCTCCCTCTCTCTCTGACCCTCCCCCGCTCATGCTCCGTCTCTCTCTATCAAAAATAAATAAATGTAAAAAAAAAAAAATTAAAAAAAAAAAGAAAAATCTCGCACCCTGAGATCAACCAACCAACAAGGTCACCGTGTCTAGTCTTGGTGGCAAAGTAGGATGCTTTGGGCCTTTCCTGTCCTTTACTCATTCCTGAACAAAACCATTCTATGCCTGAGTTTTACAAGACTTCACGTCCTAGGGAGTTGCGGTAGGTGGACAGCCCTTGGGGCCCGTGGGGATCTGCTATCTATTTACCCACATGGAAGTGTGTTCTCTGTTCTTCTGAGGCTCCAGTTACCCAATCAGACTTCCAGACACTATCCCACACGTCACCAAGATTCTGCTCATTTTTCTCGTGTTCTTCATACCGGATAATTTCTATCTTCAACTTGACGGACTCTTCTCCTTTCTCCAATACGCTCTGCATTTTTCAAATCTAGAATCTCCATTTCATTCTTTTTAACACCAGTGTCCATTTACCGGCTCAGATTCCACATCTGTTCATTCATTGTAACCGTATTTTCCTTTGGTTCTTGAATCGATCTGGAATAGTTCCTTTCAAGTCCTTAGTCTGCTAAGTTCAGCACCTGGATCATCTTGGGCTCAGTTTCTATTGACTTCTTTGTCTCCTGACTGTGGCTTCCATTTCATTTCCCAGTTTCTTTGCATGTCCGGTTGGTGTTTTGTAGAGACTCTGGATTCAGTTATGTTCCTCCGAAGGGGATTTTGTGTCAGCAGGCAGTTACAGTGGACAGGATCAACCCCCAGACTCCGTCTTCTCTTTGCTGGGCCCAGCTAAAATCTCTGGTGAGTCCTTGAAGCTCCCAGCAGCTGCTCTTTCAGACCACCCAGTCTCTCCCACGGATGCGCAGTTTGGTGGCCCGTCAGGGATTCAAGTGGATTTAATACACAGATTTGGGGTCTAACCCCCTCTGTGGCTCCCCCCTCTTCAGGACTTTCCTTCTAAGCTTTCCAGCCACTTTTCTCAGCCTGAACTCTGTCCTGCAACCTCTCAAGCCGGTACAATGGCAGCTTCCTGTTTTACTTGGCTAACACGCGGACTGAGGGGGCTTCCTCTGGCAAAAAGCTGCAAGCCTGTGCCTCTCACATGGTGTGCATTTGGTCACCGTTCAGTGCCTTCAAAGGATTGCATTTTATATTTTGGCCAAATTTCATCACTGTTACCTGTGGGACACAGTGCAGTCAAGCGAGTCCACCATTATGGAAGCCAGACGCTTCTATTGTGAGACTTAAACATTTCGACAATATGGGGGGATATAAATGCTATTCCACTGTTGCTTTAATCTTAATTTTCCTGATTACTAGCGAGGCCAATTTTTAAAATCTTAATTATTTTCTCCAATGTGGTGGGTGGAAAGTGGTATCTCATTGTTTTAATTTGCATTCATCTCATTACCATGATGGCGAACATTTTTCATATTTCTCTGCCATCTGTGTTTTCTCTTATGGGAAATGCTTTTGCCAATTCTCATATTGAATGTTTTTTCTTATTGATATGTAGGAATTCTCCAAATACTCTAAGTAGTCATCTTTCGCCCATTGTATATTTTGCAAGTATTTTCTCTCGGGTGTCGGTTTTCCTTTAATTTCCTCTAGTTGTGGGCAAAATGGAAGCTTAAAATCTTAAATTTAATCAAACACAACAAATTTCCCTTTGTTTCCACTTTCTGTGTCTTAAGAAGTCCAGCTATCCACAGAAATCAGAGTGGCATTCTCTTACATTTTCTTTTAGAAACTCTACAACGTAGCTATCACATAATCCACCTGGAATTTATTTATTTTTATTTTTATTTTTTTGCAGAATCAGCAGCACCCGCTAAATAATGGTCGTCGTCTTTCCCTATAGACCTGTGATGCTCACTCTCACATATTAACTTCTGGATGCCCACAGGTCTGTGTCTGGCCTTTCGAATTTGTTTTGTTGCCCTTTCCATCTGTCCCTGAAGTCAGTAACCTTTGGTATTGGTTAGTATAGCTTTGTATCGACTGGTAGGGGAAATCTTTATACCACTGTCTTCCACTCCGTTTTCTCCTTCTCTTTCCCCTCCCCCTCTCCCCCCCACCTCCTGCTCGTCTCCTTCCCTTTCTTCTTGTTCTTCTTTGTCTTGTCTGCTATTGTTTTTTGCCCTTCTATTGTAATACCAACCCTTTCTAACAATGGACATTGGATATCTACTTATATGGGTATTCTTTATTGTTTTTAAATAAAGTTTTATAATTTTCTCCACAAAGTTTTATAGCTCTTTGAAACCAACTATTTTCCGTCGCTACAGTCAGCGGTATATTTTCAAATGATGAAGTTTATGTTTGCTTCTCATGTCTATACATGTAAGTGCTGTCTGTACCTCCATTTAAATTCTGTCCCTATACCTAATACCTTTTTGCTGTATCTGTTGGCTTTCTGCATAGCTAATCACATTGTCTGGAATAACTTTGTTTCCTCCTTTCTAGTCCGACATTTATTTATTTTTATCTTGTTGCATTGGCTAGTATCTCTAGTACAATCATGGACCCAGGGGAGGTGGGGAGCCACCACATTCTTGACTTTAAACGGAAGACTTCTCCCAACCGTTAAGTTGGCATTTGGGTCAGGTGTTGATAGCATCTTTCTCAGTGAAGGACGTTCCCTTCTATTCTTTGCGTAAATTTGTCAAAATTGTGTTAAAAATATTCCAAACTGCTTTTCCTGAGTTCCTTGCGACGATCATACACTCTCCTTCCATTAATGAAGGTAGTGAATAATATGATCGTGGACACGTGAAATTGTAACTCCTCTATTATTTCACTGAGTTTTGGCTGAAACACGCATCAAAGACTGTTGCCGTGAGTCGGCAATTGTATTGGTTACTACTGCTGTGTGACAAACTACCCCGAAACTTAGTGGCTTAAAACAATGACCGTTTCAACAACCAGAAGAGCCCATGATTCATTCTCAGTTTGGGCTACTTGGGTGGAGGTGAGCAGTTCTGGTGATCTCACCTGGGCTCCCTCATGTCTACAGTCATCTGGTGGCTTGCCTGGGCAGGAAGGTGTAAGGTGGCCTCACTCCCAGGCCCGGGGCCTTGGTGGTGGCCTGGTGGAGCCTCCCTCTCCGTGTGCCCCCGTGGCTCACTGGTCTAACTTCACGGCCCCGGGGGTGTGGCTGGATCACCCCCGACGCTTGCTGTGTGCATTCAGTGAGGATGCACGTCAAACCTTAAAACGGGTTTGCCCACCTAGCGTTCAGGGGAAGGCGGCTGGCACTGCCTTTCCCCATCTCTAGGTGCCCGGCTGCCCCTGTCTCCCTGTCTAGACCCTTAACTCTGAACCCCTTCTTTGTGTGTTGGATTCTGAAACCTCTTCCTAAAACCAAGCTCCCTCTCATCTCAGGGCTCATGTGCTCAGCTGCCGAATGACATGTCCACATGACTGGCACAAGGGGACATGTTTTTGAGTACTTAATGGGTGACACCATTTTAAAGGTTGGACACATATTT